AAAAGAAAAAAAAAAAAAAAAAAAAAAGGAGAAGAGTTTGGAATGCGACGGCAAACCGAGAGGAATTCGTAGTATGTACACGGAAGTGGCCGCGCGTCGGCCGAAACGAATATAGTTCTCGCCAATGCGAGATCTTATTCAATGATTCATGATTCACTTGCCAGTAAATTGTTGGAGAAATCGCTGTGGGATTGTTGTGTCACGATGCACGATAAATGCACACCGAGGAAAATTACTATTTCACCAGGTTCATGGAGCGTGAGGCCATCAACCAAACCGGTCGACACGGCGAAAGAACCGATCGAACGAACCTGGCCAGCTCCTCAACACGCACAAAACGATGTCACGATAATGTTTGCCAGAAGGCGATCGTGGCTACCGTAGTCGAACTCCACAAATACACGGCCTCTTGTCTCCTCAGCCTCCCGTCCTCTTGTTCCCCTTGTTATCCAATCGTAAAACAGTAGGAAGCAGGCTCGATCTATTTACTGATCGATTTATTTAGATTCGGGGCCTCGATTTCCTTCTTGCCCTACAGACTGTTTCGCTCTCGCGGTTGCTCTTCCACCAACTGACGATGTCTATCTTTCTCTGTAACAGAAAAGCCGGGGAATTTTTTTTCGTAATTTCGCGCCGAAATCAGACGAACCGCGAATCGACTTAAAAATCGCAATCCGCTCGCGCCATCTATCAACGGATTGGCCGTGTTTAAATACTTAAGTATTTTACACTGAAACGCGCGAAACTCTTCAGTGTAAATTCTCAGCTTCAGAGTCAAGAGAAAATTAATTGTTATGCTTGTTAATTGCCATGTTGTGAAATTTTTATGTTCTGTGAGATGTGTTATGCTATATTATGTGTTTACATTAAATACGGTAGCTACGCGATTTATAGTGAGTATATGCATCAAGTACATTACGAGCTTTTAATTCATTGATAAATTTTCATAAAATAAAATATTTAAGATGTTATAATGTAAATTTTGTATTTATCGACGCAATCGATTGTCTTTCGATTGAAAATGAAATTATGTACAGGGATAAAACAAATCGAATTACGTTTATTATTATTATTATTGTTATTTATTATCTTTCATTATATTGAGATAAAGTTAATGAATTGAATCGGCGCGAACTTTAGAAAAGGAAATCCAATTTAATTTAATTTATTTTAATTCTGTTAATTGTTTATTAAACATTAACCTATTATTATATATACTTATGCGTAGTCTTTAAATCTTTTATTCTTCGTATAACTATATCTAATATATATTGACCATATTTTTCACAACCATTTCTCATATAAAAGTTTTGCTCGCGCAAAGCATGACTAACACTTGCGCAAAACATGACTTACCAACCATTGAATATTGTAGCACCATTAACTACTAGTTAGTCAATGCTTTTAACATTTATTATTTTTATATAACATTTACGTTCACTGATGTCAGCAGTTCGTAAATTTGACATGCTTGATGTAAGTTATATATCAAAATGTAATAATATTGTGTCAGCACAACACAAAAAATTATCAAAGTGTTTATGATTTAACCCATTTAGGAATTTACATAGAAGGACACGTGAAATAAGCACTATCTATAACATAATTTCATTTAATATTTTTTGATGGTTTTAAATAGGTATATATCTATTGTAATATATTTCTAAATTATTATCAAATCAAAAAAGTGCATTATTCTGCAAATATATTTAAAATAATCAGAATATCAAATAAATGGATATTTTGACCATAATCAAGTGTAATACTTAAATTAATGGCTTAATTCATAACAAACAACAATTCATGAGAAACAACTGTTAAGAATATTTTTAGTTCATAATTCTCTGTGAAAAATGGTAGATGTAAAACATAATGCAAATGGAACATATGATTGTAATCAAGAATCAAGAATCAGAACTAACAGTTCTGATACTGTGCCATCAACACCTTCTTCATCGTCAGATTATTTGACAGGAGATGATAGTTCAGACAGTAAAGCTGCTATACCATTTACTTTAAAATCAGTGGAAACTACACTTTCATTGTCTAAGGTATAAAATAATTTATATAAATATAATGTAGTACCATAGGTACTATAATAATTCTTTATTTCACTTAACTTATTTCTAGGCTACTTCTGAAGAATATTTGAAAGATATGATAGAAAAATGCAAGCAAATGGTGTTAGAAAGTGCAGAATGTTCAGATGAGCGAAAATGGCTTGTCAGACGTTTAATAGAGTTACGTTTAAGAGTACAAGAATTAAGAGAAACATCTGAAGAAAATTTGCTTGAAACGCAAGTCATTTTAGGACATCATTTAGTACCACAAAAATATTACATAACTACTTCTGGGCCTGCATATTGTGATCATTGTAGTGGAGCTATTTGGACTATGCTTCAATCATGGTATATGTGTAGTGGTAAGATCCATTAAAATTAAAAATTATTATTTTTACATGTGAATATTCATGATCTACAATTTTCATTGTTATAGATTGCAAATTTTGTTGTCATTGGAAATGTTTAAATAATATATGTAGAGTATGTGTTCATGTGGTTGCTAGTGAAGCAGGTGGTTATACGTACACAAAAGATATTTGTCCTGAAAAGGGTTTATCAAATCAGGGATATAGATGTGCTGAATGCAAAGTTCGAATTACATTCAGTAAGTAAAAAAGAGTATTTATATCTAAGAATTCTATATTATTACAATATAGATAAACCATATTTTCATTACAAGCTTTCTCAAAGGGATTATCCTTATCTTGCTTTGGTAATCCATTTAGGAATACAGGTAAAATATTAATGATTTTGAAACCATGGATTACAAATGAAAAAGTTATTTTTATGTGCCAATATACATAATAAGTTATATACATAATACTTTTAATAAGTTATTATAATTATAGATTCAGCATGGATTGAGCCACGTCTTTGCGATTATAGTGGATTGTATTATTGTCAAAGATGTCATTGGAACACTGCAATGGTAATTCCTGCAAGAGTAATTAGAAATTGGGATATGGAACCAAGGCTCGTATCCCGTGCTGCTGCACAATTGCTAACACTTTTAGAAGAACGTTCTGTTTTATTACTCGAAGAGTTAAATTCAAAATTATTCACTTTAGTTCCAGATCTCTCTGTAGTAAAGGTAAAATAAATAAATATACTTTTATATCAAAGAAGTGAAAAGTTTTATGAATTTAAAATGAATAATAAACAGAGGATGCGGGACGAAATGCAAATGATGAAACGTTATTTAGTTTTGTGTACGGAAGCTAATAAACAAGGATTACCATGGAAAATTGGAATACGCACTCATATGATAGAAAATTCGGGAAATTATTCAATTAAAGATCTTGTTGATCTTAATAACGGAATTCTCTTAGAAGAAATTCGTACTGCATATGATATTATGCAAATTCACATTACCGAACAATGCGAATTATGCAAGGCGAGGTAAATTTTAATAATTAGAAGATATTTTATTTGTCATTTTATAATTAAACTAAATGTTAATGTACAGAGGTCATTTATGTGAATTGTGTGGTAATGATGAAATTATATATCCATGGGATGCAAGTTCTATTACTTGTCATCAATGTTCGGCTGTTCATCACCGTGCATGTTGGTCAAAACAAAATCACTACTGCCCACGATGCACAAGACTTCAAAAGCGACGTGCCTTGCAAGATCAAATTTCAGATACAGATGATTGTATTAAAGAAAATGGATTGAACACAAGTGAATCGCTAAGTGATACAACATAAATGCCAAATATCGCGCTTATTGTGATTTCAATTTTTTATAAAATAAAATTAAAAGACATTTATAAGATCCATATTCTATAATATATAAGATATTTCGGATTTATTTTAAGTAGTAGTGATAGAAATATAATTCTAAAATAGATATATAAATATTGTTTTTTTATAGAAAGATTACTAGTTATAATTCACGTAAATTTATAAGGAACAATTCAGATAATAATATTTTATAAATTGTTACTAATCTCCTTTATTAAAAACCAGGTAATATTTTTTTTAAAATTATTGTATATTAAATTCATTTTTATACAAAACTGTTTTTTTTTCAATCAAAATTGAATTGCTAAGTCATTAACATGACTGATGAAGACAAACACTTACGTAGTAAAAGCGTCACATAAAATATTAAAAATATTGTTACATCACATTTTCCAATCATATTTTATGAGCAGAGATATGATTTTAATAACTCGCATATTTCTATTATATATCGCAGTTTGTTTGGCTGTTGAATCTGATTCTGATTCAACGGAGTTAAAAAAAACATATGTCACTTCGATAGAAAAGTCAATACAAATGTTAATAAATTCTGAAAATAGGATTCCGAAAAATATTTTGACTATTAAAAATAAGTTAAAAGAGTTAACATATGGTGTGTTTCCCAAGAGTGAAAATATGTGGAAAAAATCAACAATTAGTAATATTTTAAACCCATTTAAACACAATATTAAGGCAATATATCCAGGTATGTACTATTAAATTTTTTAATAAAAATAGGTTGATAATATAAATTTTAGGGACATATTGGTGCGGTGATGGTGATAAATCTCCAAATAAAAAAGATCTTGGTTTTTTTGAAACTACAGATGCTTGTTGTAAAGCCCACGATCTTTGTTCAGAGAATATTTCAGCAGGAGAAGAACGAGAAGGACTTCTAAACAATGGTATATTCACAAGGTAATTAATACTGTAAATTACCATTAATCGAAAAGGAATAAAATACATATTCTATGTACAGATCATCATGTAACTGTGATGATGCATTTTATGGGTGTCTTAAGGAAGCTAATAACATTTTAGCTACACACATTGGAACAACGTATTTTAATATTTTAAGACCTCAATGCTTCAAAGAGTATTATCCTATTGTAAATTGTGAAAAACACGCAAAGTAATATATTTTATAATTTATTCAACTTTTTGTGTAAAATATTTTCTATTTAATATTTATTATTATTAAATTTTAGGCATCGATTGATAAATAAAAAATGTGAGAAATATAATTATAATCTTTTTCTGCCACAAATAATGCAATGGTTTGATAATCCAGATTTTTTATAATCTTCAATGGATTGAACAATGTAGTAATTTATAGTAAATTGAAATAATTTTTTAATAGTTAAATATATTAAAAAATAAAATATATGATATATGTTACAGAAAAAAATTATTATTATTATTATTACCTACAACAAAGTGTATCTTATAGTTTGAGATGTTCAAGAAGCGCTCCTTTCGGTGGTATTCCTCTTTTAATAATATGAGGTATTGTTTTAGGAACCATGCTGAAAAATAGATTAAATAGTTATAGTTAATGAAAATTAAATTAAATAGTTATAGTTTCATTTAAAATGAAGTTTTATTTTAATAAATAATTAACTTACGTAATGCAATCAATAATAGGACATACTGAAAGACAAAGTGTACAACCTGTACAATCATCTGTCACTAGTGGAATGTGAGTTTCAGGATCAAATTTAATTGCTTGATAACCAGAATCAGCACAAGCCATATAACATTTCCCACA